GGATGCGGTCTACCAATTTCAGACCTCTGTCTGCGACCTGCAGGGATCCTACATGTCCCTGGCAATGTCTCTTTGCCTGTTCTGGCAGCTGGTCTGGCATCCCTGAGAGAGGACCGTGCCTCTACCTGCCGTCCAACAGCAATAGCGCTGCGCCATGACCAATTGGTCTTCTCTGTGGCCGCTCCCACTGCATTGGAGCATTGACTTGCAGCTCCTGCAGAAATTCCATCAGCATTTGCCAGGATAAGGTCGAGGTATACCGCATATGCGGCAGCCGCATAGAGGAAAAGGTCGACGTCTCGCGCCAATTCGACATGGGGCTGCAAGTCGATTGAGCCGGAAAACGGATGGGGGGGGAGCTGCACCGCAAATCTTGCTTCCATGGCCTCGCAATAGTTGTTGCTGTGCCAATTGATCTTCGAAAGGGCGTCGTAAAGGTTGGAGTGACTGACATAATATTGAGGCACCTCGCCGAGGCCTTTGTTGGGCTTGCGGATGAGTTTGTCAAGGTCCATGATGCGAGGGGGGGTTTTGCGCGCAGGACGGCTAGTCATGTAATGCAAGAAGGTTGTCGTAGCCAGGCATGCGCCTTGGCAAACTTTGTGTTGTTCGACGCTATACCACATCACTGTCAAGGTGGTCCATGCGAGTACGTGTCAGCTTGTCTCATGTGGACAGCCCAGGTTCCTGGTCTTGTGCTCCCTCAGTGGAAAGTCTTGTGGATCATCACTTCAAAAGGCGGTGTGCTCCCCAACATGCGCATTTGATATCCACCAAGTGGCAGCAGTGAAGATGGCAAGGCTGGCCCGCATCAGATGTGCCTGTCCTTAGGCTCAAAGTAACACTTTTCTCAAGAGACCTTTTTGCAGGCTGCGGTACCGTTTGGAGTAGCAGCCCAAGAATGCCTGTTGTGTTGCAGCTGCACCACATGCTCAAGCAGATCTGCAAGCCAAGTTTGAGCTACAAAGAATTCCTTGCTGCCATAGTCTATGGCATGTGTGGTCCATGCTGCAACCTTTTACCAACAAGGGACAAATGCAAATGGAAGATGCTCCTAAGACCGGCAAGATGGTCCACGTGCCGGCATTGACCACCAAGTCCATCAAGGCAGTAGCCTCTCTTGTTGGCTTCTGGTGCATTATTCCTTGGAGCTTGTGTTTTGCTATGAACAGCCCTCCAGCAATTTGCAGCAGGATGTTGAGCGTGCTAGATGCCACGCTTTGATCCATCTTGACCAAGCCAAAGGCCGTTCAGGTGTGCCTTGGCACCCTGAGGGGTGATTGTGGCAGCAGCAGCAGGCGGTGCAGCGCAATTGTTTGACCTGAGGACTTTCAACCAAACATCCACCACCATCTGAAATGCGCAATCCAGCAATGGTGTTGGCACTTTGTCATCGGAAGTGTATCCTGCCAGCAATAGCAAGACCTTGACCATGGTCCACGCAAACACATTTCTGTGCTTGCGCTTCTCCAGGTAGCGTGCCACTCTTGCTTCAAAGTCGGTCTGTGCTGCAGATGGAGGTGTGCAGGAGATGCCCAAACTAGCAGACAGATTCTGGGGCTTGTCTTTCTGCACGTAAACTCTTTGAGCCCTTACATGCAGCACCAATGCGTGTATGTGCGGCCATTTGGCTTGCAAGGTTGACTTTGAGGAGCCAGAGGTGGTGAGGGCGTGCGAAGATGGTGCTCGCCGGCGCACCTTTGGTGCCATCTTCAAGACTACCTGGTGTGCACTCTTCAGAGCACTACGTCCTTGGAGGACATCAATGCAACAGGCGCGCAGCCAAGCTCTTTCCTGGATGCGCAGTGCAAGCTACAGAGAGTTCACAGGCAGATCTGCTGATCTTGCCTCAGCCTGTTGCTCACTGCGCATCTGGGTGACTTTGGCAGAGCCCTGCGCAAACTTCTGGCCCAGGAGGTGTTAGAGATGCGTCACGCCGCAGCCCACGTGATCGAGCACCCAGCCGCGCTCCCCGATGACGCGCCCAGGCAACCCAAACCCATCCCTGCACCATGATGACTATGGGCTTTTTGGTCTTGGTTGCGGGCAGGGTCCAGCATTGTTCCAGCGGCTACTTGCTCTGATGGACTATAGCCATGACAACACCATGTACGACGGAATAGATCAACAGAGAGCAACCCCAGCCTACACCCAACGCCATGTGATTGACTTTTGGCCTCATGGACCTGATCACAGCTTGATTTTGCTTCATGCAGTCATGTGTGCTTGACTGTTGATCAAGTTTAATGCGCCTGTTGTCCAATTCACCTCAACATCCGTCATCTGGATCATGTGCAGCTGCATCAATGAGATTCTCCGTGACGTTGTGCAAGAAGTTGGCGCTCAACTCTTGGCCAACATGCTCACTGGCATTCGATCAATTGCTGATCTAGGCACTGCCATCTTTGACTGTGGGCATGTGAGCAACATATGTTGGCAATGGCAAGCAAGACAGGCTCAGCGCTTCATGGTGGATCTCTGTGGTACCATGCGCTCCTCTTCAATCATGCTGAGGAGCAGTGATGAAGTCCTTGTTGACTATCACTTCTTGGCTGTCCTCACTGCCCATGAAGGAGTCCTCAAGTACTGGCCAGACTATGCAAAGGACTGGAACTTGCTCATGTACCTTTCCAATGCTGTTTTCCGTGCTGCTGAAGAGCTCCAGAACCGGCAGCTTCTTGGCAATAGTCTGGAGTTTTGCCTTGCTCATGCCACAGACACGCAACCGCCTTGACAAGTTGTTTTTGGTGCAAGTCTTCATTTTTTGGCAGAAGCTACAGAAAGGTCACAGGCAGATGAATGGGAGCCAAAAATTCCTCCTTTACATGAGTGGATCCTGGATCCTACAATAATGGTAGAGGTCATCAAAGCTCATTCATTCCCTTTGTATTTTCTCTTCTCTCACATCATCAGCCCCTTCTGATGGATGCTGCTGGTGAGTTGCAGTGCCCTTGCAAGGCGGGGCATTACGCTGCATGAACAAAGTCACAGAGGCCTGCTCCCAACCTCCAATGCGCAGAGCTTGCGCACACAACACATTGACCAGCCCTTAAGATTGCAAGCGCACTTGTGAGAGCGTTGCGCGCACTATGAGCATTTCCGCAAGACAGAGACAGCGGATCACGAGCGCAGCGTCGCAAGGGATGACGACACTTCAGACTCGGAAAGAGAGCTTGTGTAGATCTGTTGTCCTGAGAACTGTAGGTCAGACGGTGCCAACTCAAAGTAAGTGCCTGCGCATTGCTCACTTCAGGCCCCCAACTCCCTCTGCTTCCTCAAGAGATTCTTGTAGAATTCTCAAATATGCTGAGGCACCTGTGGCTGTTGCAATGTCCTTGGTGAGCATGCGACACACAAAAGGGGGGCGTGACAAAAACACTCATAAGGTTTGCTTGCGCCTCCAGCTCTGCCAACTCCCCCTCCAGTTCCTCCAGACTCTCCCGCAAGCGCCTCATGTGTTCTGCAAGGATGACAAATTGCGCTCAATGCACAAGCAGAATGCCACAAAGGCGTTCAATTTCCCTGTGGAAAGAAGCAGGATAAGCATGTGTTGGTGCGCAATGCATCTCTTACACCACGCAGGGCTCAG